ATAAAGTGCCGTAAATAGAGATTTTGGTACAGAGGATTCCGGTAGAAAGGAGCATGTGTAGTCCGTACTTTTAGGCGTGACTATAACACATAAGTTGCAATAACCAAATTTGCTSAGTACAAATCTTATAAGAACTTCTACCGRCAGTGKRAAGATAGATAACCTCGCTCACTCCCTATATAACGGTACTGTTAAAAACTTCTAAAAGTGCAATAAATTAATAAATAAATATGCCAGATACATTAAATTTTACCRCCGAAATGGTATGAGAGAGCTTTATGGCTCCGTTGTGAAAATTGGASGMTGAGCGTGGCAAAGGGATAAGATATTTGGATATAATGGTATGTTTGTATGTCAAAAATTGGTTAAATTGAAACAATACTTTCCTTAGCCCCCATATACTTAATATAAAGATTTTCGATTTTTTTTAATATAAAGATTTTAAACATCCGGCTAACTTTAATCTATATGATTGGTTTTGTACCTTAAAGTATTTCTCTAGCTTTGATTCTTGAAAGTTGCAAGAGTATAAAATGATCCTTACTTATTTATTTTATTTTCAGTAATTTGTAAACTTTGTTGATTTTTATAATAATATGAATAATTTAATTAATTTACTTCCAATTATTATAATTACACTTTTTACCAATATTTATTACTGTAGCTCAAATGTGCAAATATTTAAATTTACTTGCACCAACTCACTTTTGCRGCACATCCATTTACGCTCAAAAAGAGACAAGTAAGTCCGATCACCGTCACAAGTCTGTATTTTAGTGTGTTTAACATCGCTGTCTACACTGAACTGACAGTATTGACTGTTTGAGTTCTAAAGACTAAGTTCACCGAAGTCTTGCAATAATTTATTCATATGGCAGCAAGTATTTATATATGTATACTTATAATTATAAAGAGCCTAGAGAGATAATGCAAGTCTCTCCATAGATAAGGAAGATTCTATCGCAACCACTCAATTTTGACAGCAAAWATAYATGTATATAGATATAYGTATATAGATACATGATGAMTATTTGTTTACGAGTATGCATTTAGTAGTTTTTGCTTTTGTAGCTGCTGTCCATAACTGGTCAGCGGCCTTTAAGTGTTTCAAGCGTGTTTAGAATATTTGAGGACCATAAGTGTCAACAATAACGCCAACAAACAAACGAACTTAAGTAGATTATTTATTTCTCTACATTTATGTTATGAACTAGTGGAAAGCGTTTTACTATCAGCGCCTTCATTTTAATTAGTTACTAACTACGAAACRAACACATTTTTTWGAAATATTTTTTTACCACATTTGTCTAAGTTTCTAACATTTTATTCATTAAGAAATATGTAAATGTTCCGCCATTTGATGTAAAATTTTGCATTTATTTCGCTTTGTACTTAAAACCGCTGAGGTGACCCTGCCAGGCAATTGAGATTTCARTATATTGTTTAACCATAGAACTTTTTTGTATCCTCTTGCAATAATGGCAAATCCAGATAAACCAATGATACCTTTTATTGCTCTTCACCACGGAAACTAGGTTTGTTATCCAGAGTGTTTTATGAACAGGATACATACCGCAAACTGACTAAAAAAGAGTCATAACTCGAAAAAAGGCTAATATTCAGGAGGAATAAAATAGGAATAAGTTCCTGTAAAAAGTATTGAAATTTTTGGGTGAAATCGTCGTCCATAATATAAAATATCTTCTTTTTAGAAAATTCTTTTGATTTACGAATAGATATATTGAAAAAAATAGATTAAAAAAATTTTTAAGTTGTGACTCTTTTATAGTTAGTACGTGAGACGTACAACTTGGGAAATACGTCTTTTGTAGTTAGTACGTGAGACGTACAACTTGGGAAATACGATCAAATTCAAAAGAGAAAGACTCAGATAAAAAATATCTTAAAGAAAAAAAGTTCGATCTACATTTATTCCTGGTCAGCACCGAATTCATTCTTTTGTCTAAGAAAGTTAAATTAAACAATAACAATAATATTAAAAAAAAAAATGTTTAACATCAATCGACTAGTGACTTCTTAGCATTAATTTTACCTGGTCTTGAATGTCAATTATATAATCTATAACTACCGAAGCTMTTCCTTGTTAGCGTAAGGATCGTAAAAAAATCGCTTTTGTAGCTAAATAATCCACCATCGCATATATTGTGAAATCTTTTATACAAAAAATTATCTGAATATTTTCTATCGACTACAAGAGCTCGGTGTTTTATCCAATACTRTATATATTTCGTTTTATCCAACTGTACTTCAAGGTACGAATACAACCCCTTATTTGCTTATTTCAATTGAGAACTTACATTCGTCATCTAGAATTTTACTATACCCTTCATTAAGGTGTCTGGTGATGACATCTATTCGATATTTGTAGATTTTTTTTTTGTTACTTCAAATAAGCCTTAGTCTACGCTAACAACCGTGGGATGAGCCTCCTCAACCTCGCATATAAGGTTCTATCAAGCGTATTGTGTGTGATTAAAGCCCACCGTCAACAAACTGATTGGACCCTATCAGTGTGGCTTTAGGCCGGGAAAATCAACAGCTAACTAGATATTCGACAAGCGCGAAATCTTGCAAAAGACCCGTGAAAGGAGGATCGGTACATATCACCTCTACGTCGATTTCAAAGCTGTGCTAGGTCATATCGTCCGAATAGATGAAAACACTCGAACTTTGAAAGTATTCGACGCTCTGTTGGAAAGATCTGGTGGAGAAGAACCTGGCAAGACTTGGAATCTACAATTGACACCAAACAGCGAGAAGAAAGAAGGTATGCCTCAATCTTAACGCCTACTAAAGAAACCGAACTTTTAAGCCTGCCCGGTTTAGCTTGATGAGAAGATGAGTGACCTCAACAGTAACCTGCTGTTATACCCATTCCGGACGGAAGGAGGTCCAGACTACAAGGTACTTTTCAAAGTAAACAAGACTTTTTGAATCTAGCGCCCCCTGGTGGCGCCATCTATATGTCGAATGATGCGTTAGAATCTGATGTCTTTATCGATTGTCCAGTGAGAATTTCATGACATTTCATAGATTGGAAGTGAAGTTATTGCGTTTTAAGTAACAGTATGTTGTGTGTTATCGGTGCGAAAATAAGCTTCGAACAAAGAGCCAACATCAATTTTATTTTAAAATTGCTAAATCTTTTACCGAAACGTTTCAATTTATGAAACAAGTTTATGGCGATGATTGYCTATTACGTAGCAGAGTGCACGAGTGGTTTCAACGTTTTCAAAATGGTCGTGAGGACATAAATGACGACATCATGTGGACCAATCAAAATCCGTGATCACCGGAAATTCCATCGAAACTGTGAGTGAATTCATAGAAAATCAACCGAAATCATCATGGAAATGGAATTGAACATCTCCAAAACCTTGATTTATCGCATTTTGACCGAACATTTGGACTTACGAAAGGTGCGTGCACGGTTTGTTAAGCACAAATTGACTGACGACCAAAAATTGCTCAGAATAAAACAATATTTGACCAAAAATCACATTTTAACCATTAACCACTCCCCGTATTCACCTGATATGGCACCCGCGACTTCTTCCTTCTCGGAAAAATGCATTTGCCTATGAAAGGAAAGCGTTATGCAGATATAGAAGTCATTCAAAAGGCTTGCACCGCCGTACTAACAGTCATACCAGCCAACCAGCTAAAACACTCGTTCATCATGCTTTTGGTCCGTGCAAAAAGTTGTATTGAAACAGAAGGAGACTATTTTAAATAAAATAAATTGGTTTTGCCGAAAAAACATTTGTTCTGCTTTGTTTTAAGTCCTGTTTTCTTTGGAACGCACCTTGTATTACTTTTTCAATAACTTTGGTGCTTCGTGGTTACATAAATTTCCCCCCCAGTCTATCTAATCGTTGATAGATTTCTTCATTCATATATTCAGATCTTCAATACTTCAGGTACCATATATGCAGATATTAAAGAAAAATAAAACAAAGATTTTGTTGTTTGTTATTAATTTTTATGTTTCTTTATTACTTCAAATTGATTTGGTTTAATATTTACTTATATCTTTGCTGGCAATATAAAATTGTATAAATTAAATGCATTTGATTAAAATATTGTCCAATCTATATTTAATATATAGCAGATTAATTTTGCTTCAAGTATTTATCAAATTTATGTATATTATATTTATATCATATTTATAATAGTATTATGCCTTTGATGCATCATTAGATGCTCTTTTAACAGTATTATTTAATTATATTTAAGTAATTCCCATGGTATTCGTTTAATCAATAGTACTCATAATTATAATAACTATATACTTCATGTTATTGAAGTCAAAATCTAAATAAATATGTTCATATATTTTTAGTTTAGAGTTTTCAAATAACGAGTAATGAGTGGAAGTTGATAGTGAGTCGATAGTTTTTATTCGTAGCGATCTGGTCCAAAAATGGATGTTAAAATTGTAATATTAATGATATATAGTATATATATTTATTTCTTAATTATTAAAAATTATTAATTTTGGGAATTCGTTGGATTTTTTTTTTATTTAAATAAGTACAGTTCAATCACAAATTAGGTATATAAAAATGAATTATTAACTAAAAGGTACACATTTTGCGGTATACATACTTTAGAATAACGAATTGAATGCATTTTAGGTATTTTGGTATATGTATGGACTTATTTTAAATACCATTAATATCTTTGATATTTTTGCTATATAATTTATCTTATAAAATTTACATTATAAGTAAATGGGTTTGCGTTGTTTGGCCTAAATGCAATCGTTTCGCCGCGTTAGGAATATTTACTTTATATATCTAATATTAATATAAATATATATTTATATGTACATATATAATTTTATATGCAAATATATTTACATATATAAATGCTTATCAATGTATACATGTAATATTTTATGTTGTCATACATATGTTTATTTCAAAACTCAGAAGAATGTTGAACACTATTTTTGAGGTAGTTACATAATGGAAAAAATAAGGCAACATATAAAATTGAAAAATTATAAAACTACAACAGACATAAAGCCTTTTTCATTTAAAGAAGAAGTATGGGGAAAAATATGAGGAAAARTATAATTCTCAGCTTAAATAAGCGGTTCAATTTGTACTGAAAAATTTGAGCTTTGAAGGAAGAATTAATATTATAGTGAAATATACATATATATGAGGACATAAAAGCTGTACAATAATAACGTTCTCATGTATTTTAACGATTTTTAAGGGATGTTGAGCTTTATCAAATACCAAAATGGTGTTTTTTTTGCAACTTATGACTTAATTTAATGCTAATGAAAGAGTAAAAAATGTTTTTGGCAGTAATATGAGTTTKTCTTTCCAAGCTTTAGAAATAGCATAGTAAGTATTGACTAAGATCCCGTATCCTCGTCAATTTCTCKGTATTAGTAAAGACATTGAATAGTGTACTTCGTCTTTGTTTTGATCTCATTAAATTATATAAKATTCTAGGGCAAATGTCTGGAGAATTCCATCCAGTAATTCCTCTACCTTTTGACGTAAGCACTAAGTCACAGAAGTTCGAACAGAAAAAAATTTGAAAACAACTTGCTAATTGTTAACACGCTTAACGTCTCTAAACCAAACATTGTTTCCTAGTTTTACATACWTGGTATCAAAATGAAAAATAAATAGCTATTAAGTACTACAATACTGCTCTATAAATCTATAATTAATTACATAATATGTTGTATTTGATATTCTTTACTTATTAATTTGGTGTATTCGATTCGAGATCAGTGTAAATGTGGAATGCATATTCTTTCAAGGTCCTTCATAGCGGTAATTTGGCAAGTATTTTGGAAGATTTTTTCTTTATGTCATAAARTAAAATTATTTAAGGGAACGTGTAACAGAATAGTGATATATTTAACCTTCCCTCACTCTGGCAGATATTACAATATGTTCACAATGTGCGTAGTCACAAAACACTGTGTTTTTCTACATCTGAAATTCTGAAATCCTATAACTTCGGTAATCCATTTTAAACGATCACTATGTTTCAAGAAGATCTATATAAACTTCGATGTAAGAACTAATTTATGATTTTCCCTCATATCTTTTCCAACCCGATCTCGTAATTACTAATGTACTTAAAYCTAATATACCTAAACCATATATATTATTCCTAACCACTGTTAATCTCGCTTTTGGAACTCTTTAAATGTACAAAAGTTAATTTCTACTACAAAGGGCTCAGACTTTATTTTCATTATTCGTGAGGCTGTTTGGACTGTTTCTACCTTTCTTTGAAGCAATTTCAATCTTAAATTATTTTATTAAGCAAATGTTAGGCGCCAGAAATTGTAACGATTTATTTCATTTAATAGCAATCATCATTTTTCGATAAATATGGCGTTTACAATCAAAATGTACTAAAATTTTTAAATAGATTTCCAACGCGTTACTAGTGAAATTATTGGGATATTACGGGTACGCCAGATAGTTCTGCATTTTTTATTATTAGTCCTGATATTGTTGTAGGGATTAAGGGTTTGCCACCAAATATCAATTTTTCGCTCTTAGATATATTGTGCCCCACCTTATTCGATAGCTCTTACACATTTAATATGAACAATACTGWTTAGAATTGTTATTCACTAGCCATTCGCTACTCTAGTTACTACAGCGAACCAGCAAAATAAAGCGAACAATTTGACGCGAGCTTAATCTAAGTATGCTCTGATAGTATAAAAGTATAAATGCATGTGTTTTTTGTATATCTACACAATATCTTCTTACTTAAGTAGCAGCAGAGTCCACACTGCAGAATTTATCCGCCATTAGTGCTAGCACTTTTTCTAATTTTGAATGGCGATCCTCTGGAGTAGCGGTGACACCATTACTACCCCATAAAAATTTCACGTGAAACTCGGTTCTGAAAAGTTGTAGATAATTACATAACTCACAATGCAGTTACGACAACTAATGAGYACATACCTAAACGCGTCGCTGAGCAATTCGTCCAATCGCTTACTGGACTCTTCAAGCAAAATCTTCGCATTTTTTCTATACAGCGATAAATTGTTCAGAAAATGACGCGCCGAGTCTAAGTGTAGAAAATTAATTGTCATGCCGAAATCGTCGGCTTTAGCCTCCCATGCTGTTATACAAGTGCCATACAGTGAACTGCGATCCTCTAGGTTGATATTATTTACACTGATAATATCGATGATCGGTCGATCTTTCAAAAGCGCATAGAGTAAGACGTGTGGTACTGTAGTGTTTGGCGCTTGCGGGTTGGAACACTCGTTCATGCTGATTAACGTGGGTCGTAGCTTGGCTTCGAAGGTAAAAGCGCTGTCTGTGTACTTCTGGCGGAGTATGTGCCAGGCTTGTTCTAGTTTTTGGATCTGTGAAATAGTGTTAAAAGTTTTGAAATTAATTGAAATTGTTGTGTGTTGTTGACTTACCTGTGGCATGCATAATCCCAACATAATGGCACAGAAGCCGAAGAGATTGCCCAAAGCTGTTTTCGTTTCCACTGCAATCTGTATCCATTTGCTTAGTAATTCCGCGCGATCCAAGTCCGTTTGACAAGTAAGTATTGTCACTGCGACCATTAGTTTTATGCACTGTGTGCGTTCGATTAAATCAGCGCGGAATACTTTACCAAATGGTAGTGTCAGCATCTCCAAGCCGCAGCAGTCTAACACATTGCGATCCTCATCTTCAGGCAGCTCTTCTATTAATAGACCAATATCGATACGCGTTATGTGCTCAGCAATCACTTTGGGTCCAGTTTCCAGTAGCATCAATTTGAAAGTGGTAAGTGCGTCCCCATCCAATGGCTTATTATCCACTGACGGTAAGAGAAGTGTTATGAAGTTTTCAAAGTCGAACTTAGACACCTATAATTAAAAGAGAAAATATTATTTCAGAGATTGAAACCAATTTWAAGTTGCAAGCTGTGTGCTTCAGAAGAAATAGTGGAATTCGTGACCCTATTGTGGATCGAAGACACATATACTACATTTACCAAAAAAGAGACCAGAACTTTTTCTACACAATTTGAAAACATCAGAACTTGCAACAATGTAACTTATCTTAGCGCCAAAGCAATCATCTTTTTAATGACTAATAATTACGATCTTGGATACTATTCATATTGATTAAAGTCGAAGCCTAATTGAAATTTTACTCCGGCTAGATACCCACTTACCGGCTTGAAATCGGGTATCTCCATAGTGAAAAGCTGCTCTTCTGCTGCAATCACATCGAAATCAGCAAGACTCTTCAGAGCTGCCGACGATGCTGAATTACTCAAAAAGCGTGGATTCTTTATTATTACACCACGATGTTGGGTAAACTCGTTGGAGTCACCAGGTATCGAGCTCTGTACCGAATCGCCAGAACCATTGCCCGAATCCGAACCACTGGCGTGATAACCAACCCCCACAATACCGGCGCGATGCGCTGCCAATTGCTGTTGCTGTTCCTTCTCTTTACGTGTCTGACTATTTGCACGTACTGGCTTCGGTGGTGGACTCGGTGGTTTCTCTGGTAGCTCAGGTATTTGTCTGCCCTCTAAGCTTGTGCTCAAACCAATGGCATCTGAACCAAAATCTCGTGCCAAACTTGAGATACGCATAATGCTATTGCCGCGAAAGTTATTAGTATTGGGACGTGGCAATGAATGTGTGGTGAATTTAAAATGATCTACTGCCTCAGTTACAGCGGAACATCGCGCGATCGTTTGAAATCCATTGCCATGTAGTTTGCCCGCTTGCGCCAAGTGCTCCAGATGACTTTGTAAATTTATATTATCCCCACCAACTAATGACGTCTCACCAGCCAGCACCTCCTTATCGAAATTACTTAATCGACGACCMTGATCACGGAAGCCATTCGGATTATTGACGCTATCATTAGGTGGAGTACGCGCTGCTTGTATAATACCATCAGCACTTGAGCACGATTCACTATTATGCGATTGCCGTACACTAGTAGGCGTGGCATGTGCTGGCGTGAGRGATTGAGAGCGCTGTTTCTTTGATGGCAAACGTGGAGGTATTTCGCGTTTGACACGCGGCGGTGATGACATGGGGCTATGTACTGGTTGTTGCTGTTGAGTATGTTGTGTTATAATACCGGACCCAAACCGAAAATTCCCGTTGTGGCTTAGTGGAGAATTAAGGGGGCTAGCACCTCGTATGCCAGCCAACATTTGCGTGTGCAAATGATTGCCAACAATTTTATGTCCATAAAATGATAAAGGATATGTGCGATTGCAGGGATACTGTATGCGAGCACCGGAAGCTACCGAAATAGGTTTGCCTGGAAGAAATGAAATTTTATTTAGACTTCCCGAACATATTACAATARAGAATTTTTTAGTCAAAGGCAAATAATTACCAGAACCAACGTAAAAGGTGATAAGGTCGGGCACTGCATCAAAGGCATCCTCCTCAAATTGATACTGTACGCGCTCGTAGACCGTCTCAGGTTGTAAAAGAATCTGTAATGAGTAATAATTAATGAATTAAAAATTCTAACAATCTGCTTTACAATTATTAAGAACAGCTTCACTAGAGGTTTAACCAAGTTCACCTACATAATAGCGATATTGCTCTTAATTATAGTAGTCAAATKGGCAGGGTTCAATTAAAACATAAAAACTTTTCTATCATTTCTGGCACCAAGAGTGGGCCCAGTAAAACTTCAAATATATCCTAGGGWTTTCAGATCCAAAGATTTCTTAAGTATGGAATATTTTTGAAGCTGAAATACTTTTTATTTTTTCACATCTCGGATACAAGAATATAATGACTGTGAAATTTTAGTTGACTTAGCTCTCTAACAGAAACCTTTTTTTGGAAAAACTGCTTAATATTTGATTTCGCTTAAAAACACAATTACCGTTCTATGGAAAGTGAAAGTGATCGTATTTCGAATATATTGGATGTCATAATGACTACAAGGAACTTCCTAAAGTACAGAGGACTTTTTGAATCTAGGGCCCGCTGGTGTCGACTGGTGCTTTTCCAGTGAGAATTTCATCGATTGGAAGTGAAGTTATTGCGCTTTAAGTGTCAKTATGTTTGTGTTATTGGTGCGAAAAAGAGCTTCGAACAAAGAGCTAACATTAAATTTTGTTTTAAAATTGGTAAAACTTTTACCAAACCTTTAAATTGATGAAAAAAGTGTATGGCGATGGTTGCCTATCCCGTAGCAGAGTGCACGAGTGGATTCAACGTTTTCACAGTGGTCATGAGGACATAAATGACAATCAACATGTGGGCCAATCAAAACCCGAGACCACCGGAAATTGCATCGAAACTGTGAGTGAATTCATCAAAAATCAGCCGAAATCATCATTTAAATTCATGGAAATGGAATTGAACATTTCCAAAACATCGATTTATCGCATTTTGACCGAACATTTGGGATTATGAAAGGTATGTGCACGGTTTGCTCCGCACAAATTGACTGACGACCAAAAACTGCTCAGAATCCTTCTCATCGATCGACGCTTRCGGCCCATTATTTGACCAAAAATCACATTTTAACCATTTATCACTCCTCGTATTCACTTGTTATGGCACCGTGCGACTTCTTTCTTTTCGAGAAAACTCATTTGCTCGTGAAAGTAAAGCGTTATGCAGACGTAGAGGCAATTCAAAAGGATTGCACCGGCATACTGGCGGCCATACCGACCAACGAGCTAGAACAAAGCTATATTAAAGCAGAAGCAGACTATTTTGAACAAAAAAAAATTTATTTTGCTGAAAAASCCATTTGTTCTGTTTTTTCTTAAGTCCTGTTTACTTTGGAAAACACGTTGTATTACTAGCTCCTTTAAAGTCGTTACATCTCTTCGACGCGACGGAGATAGAAGGAATGAAACGACATATTTGTCGCCATAGCAGCACTAAATCTATAATTTTGCCCGTTGTCTGCTACAATTCAAAACACACAATTAGCTTTTCTGCTCTCTCACTTACCTTGTTTATAACAAAATGTAGCACCTGCGTTTTGGTGTGACAGGTGAGAACATAATTGTCTGGTTGGGAGGCGCAATCTCTTATTAAAAATTCTCCTTCCCTCTGTACAATCTCCTCGGCACGTTGCCGTGACAGTGGTCCATGATACCAGGCATGCGAACGTAAATCCTTTGCATCCAAACTGAGCTCCCATTCTAAAGCTTTTTTCAAAGCAATTGCTTCTTGTTGCTCGCTAGATGGTGTGCTCAGCGCCATGCTGTTGGGTGGGAGTTGATGGTGCTGCTGTAGAYGCAACTGACCCACAATAGATGCTGTAGAGCCACCAATACTGCTGCTCAAGTTACCACTTCCACCAACATTGTCCATCGTGTGGATTGTGTTGTTGTTGTCGGATGCACAGCTATCGGCAGTAATCTCGTTGGTTAAGTTTTGTGGTTTTGTTATTGCCTCTGTTGTTGTCGTATTCGTTTCTGGAGGATCTAGTTCCTCGTAACTGCAATGAAGATTGTAAATTTGAACAACAGTTGTTGCAAGCAGCTCGCGCGCGAATAAGGGGTGCTGATAGTAAAAAGTGGGTGGTGGTAAGAGGAAGCAGCAAAATGCAAAACAAAAACAAACAGTTGGGATATTTTCTCACTCGTTAGCTTTGCGTTTTTATTCGTTTTGTTTTTGCTCTATTTGCCTTGCTTTCTGTTTTACTGTTCCACTTGCCACAACTTCCTGTTGGCTAACCACTTTGCCCGTATTTCAAGTGGCTAGCATTGAAAGTGAAGTACCTTTTTTCAAAGTGCAAATAATTGGTCAGGGATTTGCCTAGATCAAGGTTACAACTGTTTGCTTGATAGTATGTAGTAAAAACTTTTCTATTCAATACGATAATAGAAATTAAGGAAAAAAAAAATTCTGCACTTTATGGTATTAATTCAACTCCATTCTAAACATATACTCACTCATAAACAAAAATMACGGTCTACCAATTATTAAATTCATTTCCCCGAAAAATTTCTTAAAARCTCTATAAGAAATTATACACAATTGTCTAAAAGAAGTTCGTTGCCGTTTTCCCTACTTTTTAGTTGAATTTTTACTTTCCAAGTATTTTAATTATAAAAAATCGGTTTTCCTTTCACAAAAGTATATGCTGGCCGTCTGACTCGTTCTGTAGCTGAATGAAAACTTGCCATACTTGCTGGCCCTGCCCAAAAGGTATTTTTTGTGTCCGCATACCCTGCTGCTGCTTGATTTTGATGCCGCTTGCTTCTCAGAATTTGTAATAAAACACACTCTCACATACATGCATATGCAATACTTAAATTCTCTTCATTTTCTGATATCCTTTTGCTCTACAGCTGCTCTCGCGTTCACATTTGCAACATTACAACTCCAGTTTCAGTGTTCTAATGCTCCAACCGTTCAACTTTTGCAACTTCTACAACACCCCTAACCTATTGTACGTAATCGTAAATCAAGAAAAACAACGAAGAGCAGTTTTGCTTATACTTAGGTGTCAAAAGGCCGCCTTCGAAAGTCTTGTTATTATTCATTCAACCCTCAGGTTCCCAAATATTTTTGACTGACAACGAGCCGTGAGCACAAAGGATATTTCTCAATTGTTTTTCGAGATGACGCATGCGCATATCTCGGCGCTACATTTCTCCTGGACGGCATTGACTACTGTTCAGATGCAAAAAAGTTATGAAGTGGATATTTAATTTTTATTATGCAATAAAAATAAATCTGTGAGAATATGTTAAACTATCTTAAGTTGACTTCAATTATTAGTGCCAATTTGAATTATACAACGTAACTTTTTGGATATTTGGTATTACTTTTAACAATAACTAAGAATCGTAAATTTCAAATGAGCAAATACTGAGAATACATTCACATTTGGGCTAGAAAGAAAATGATCAGCGTTAACTAACTTTAAAAAGCTACTTTAAAAAAAGGTGAACAATTTTTACAGTACTAATAACATAAGAAAGAAAATTTCTCCTTTATTATGAACACAATTTTCAAAGCGGCAACTGAGACAGATCATTTCCCAATAAACACTTGGTTTGAGATTTTTTTACGTTGAATAAGAATGAATGAGTCATGTCGAAAGACATTGAATGATTATAAATGGGTTAGAAAAACCTCTTTTTATGCTACCAGAATACATAAATTTAGCTGATCATATTTCCACCGAAGTAATTTGTTAGCGGGAGGATGGAGTCATGTGTAGAAGTTCACCCAATTTAGGAAAGTTCTCTGATCGCCATTCACTTGGGAGTGGACGATTCTTTTACATATGACTCAAGCAGCTCACGACTTCCGGTCCTGGGACCTTCCATGCTCTGGGTTTGGGACCCGTCACGTAACAAAAACCAACCCAATGAAAACGCATCAACAGCCTCGGATGAGAGACCCCACTTTTGATGACGACCAAGGCAAACGAAATAAGGACTACGAATTGGGGGCATGCACCTGGAATGTCCGGTCTCTTAATTGGGAAGGTACCGCTGCCCAGCTGGTTGATGTTCTCGTAAAAATAAAGGCTGACATCACSGCTGCCCAAGAAATGCGATGGACGGGTCAAGGACAAAGACGAGTAGGTCTTTGTGGCATTTACTACAGTGGCCATATAAAGGAGGGCAAGTTTGGTGTGGGCTTCGTGGTGGGAGAGAGACTCTGTCGCCGAGTACAATCCGCATCAAAGCGAGGTTCTTCAACGTATCGCTGATTTGCGCCCACGCCCCGACGGAACAGAAGGACGATGTGACAAAAAATGAATTTTATGAGTGCTTGGAAAGCACTTATGAGAGCTGCCCCCGACACGATGTCAAAATCGTGCTTGGCGACTTTAACGCCAGGGCGGGCAAAGAAGGTATCTTCGGCAGTACGGTCGGTAAATTCAGCCTCCACGAGGAAACATTCCCAAATGGGTTGAGGCTGATCGMCTTCGCTGGGGCCCGAAATATGGTTATCTGTAGTACTAGATTCCAGCATAAGAAGATACATCAAGCTACCTGGCTGTCTCCGGATCGAAAAACCACCAACCAGATCGATCATTGTTGTCACGGAAGACACGTCTCCAGTGTTTTAGATGTGCGTGCGCTCCGAGGTCYTAACATCGACTCGGACCACTATCTTGTTGCAGCCAAGATTTACAAGCGCCTCTGTGAAGCAATAAACACACGCCATCAAACACAAGGAAGGTTCGACGTCGAGAAGCTGCAATCACAATAGACATCCGAACGATTTTCTACTCGGCTTGCACTCCTGGTCTCTGAGAGCACTCGTCAACAACTCGGTATAAGGGAACTGTGGGACGGCATTTCATACTCCATACGTACAGCTGCAACCGAAACCATTGGTTTTCGGAAAGTACAACAGCTGGTACGACGAGGAGTGCCGTGTCGCAGCGGAGAGAAACAGGCTGCCTACCTCGCAACGTTACGACCGACCACAACACGTGCGGGATTGGATAGATACCGATAGACAAAAAAATAACTAGGTCGAAATGCGTGAGTACGAAGAGCTTAATAAGCTGGAAGACAGGGATAATGATCGAAAATTCTACGAAAACATGCGACGGCTTACAGAAGGTTTCAAGAATGGAGCACACTCTTGTAGAACCCCCAAAGGTGATCTAGTCACCGATACTTAAATTATGGAGGGAACACTTCTCCAGCCTGCTGAATGACAGTGAACGCACAACGCCAGGAGAAGGCGAACCCGATTCCCCAATCGATGATGATGGAGCAGACGTTCCATTGCCCGACCATGAAGACGTAAGAATAGCAATTACCCGCCTGAAGAACAACAAAGCGGCGGGGGCCGATGGATTGCCGGCCGAGCTATTCGAAAACGGCGGCGAAGAACTGATAATCATCAGCTTCTTTGTAAAATATGGTCGGACGAAAGCATGCCCAACGATTGGAATTTAAGTGTGCTATGCGCAATCCTCAAAAAAGGAGACCCCACAATCTGCGCCAACTACTGTGGGATAAGCCTCCTCAATATCGCATATAAGGTTCTATCGAGCGTATTGTGTGAAAGATTAAAGCCCACCGTCAACAAACTGATTGGACCTTATCAGTGTGGCTTCAGACCTGGAAAATCAACAACCGACCAGATATCACCATGCGCCAAATCTTGGAAAAGACTCGTGAAAGGAGAATCGACACTCACCACCTCTTCTTCGATTTCACAGCTGCTTTGGACAGCACGAAAAGGAGCTGCCTTTATGTCGCAATGTCTGAATTTGGTATCACCGCAAAACTTATACGGCTGTGTAAGCTGACGTTGACCAGCACCAAAAGCTCCGTCAGAATCGGGAAGGACCTCTCCGAGCCGTTCGATACCAAACGAGGTTTCAGACAAAGCAATTCCTTATCGTGCGACTTTTTCAACCTTCTTCTGGAGAAAATAGTTCGAGCTGCAGAACTAAATAGAGAAATTACCATCTTCTATAAGAGTGTTATTGATATCATCGGCCTCAACACCCGCGCCGTTAGTTCTGCTTTCTCCAGGCTGGACAAGGAAGCAACACAAATGGGTTTGGCAGTGAACGAGGGCAAGACGAAATATCTCCTGTCATCAAACAAACAATCGTCGCACTCGCGACTTGACACTCACGTCACTGTTGATAGTCAGGGCTTTGAAGTTGTAGATAATTTCGTCTATCTTGGAACCAGCGTAAACATCACCAACAATGTCAGCCTATAAATCCAACCCAGGATAACTCTTGCCAACAGGTGCTACTTCGGACTGAGTAGGCAATTGAGAAGCAAAATCCTCTCTCGACAAACAAAAAMCAAACTCTATAGGTCACTCATAATTCCCGTCCTGATATATGGTGCAGAGGCTTGGACGATGTCAACAACGGATTAGTCGACGTTGCGAGTTTTCGAGAGAAAAGTTCTGCGAAAGATTTATGGTCCTTTGCGCGTTGGCCACGGCGAATATCGCATCCGATGGAAAGATGAGCTGTACGAGATATACAACGACATTGACATAGTTCAGCTAATTAAAAGACAGCGGCTACGCTGGCTAGGTCATGTTGTCCGGATGGACGAAAACCCTCCAGCTCTGAAAGTATTCGACCCAGTACCCGCCGGCAAAGCAGAGGAAGAGGAAGACGTCCACTCCATTGGAAGGACCAAGAGGAGAAGGATCTGGCTACGCTTGGAATATCTAATTGGCGCCACGTAGCGAAAAGAAGAAACGACTGGCGCGCGGTTGTTGACTCGGCTATAATCGCGTAAGCGGTGACTACGCCAATCAAGAAGAAGAAGAATTTGTTAGGGATTTCTTTTCGATAAAAGTGGAAGTGATAAAAGTCAGAAATGCGACCTGTACTTCGATTAGAATACCCCTTATATTACTACATTTGTATTCCAGTTAAGATTTTAAGCATACAAATTTCTATGGTGGTTAAACACAAATGTAAAAGTTTTTAATGTAATTTTTGGACGTTCAATATTTTGTTAACAAAGTTGGGTTAGATGGCTGATCGGAGATCCCACGTGGACTGCCATWTGTAGTCCTTTRTTACGCCATAGAAAAGAAGAACTCCTGTGTTCGAACTCATAAATTAGCAAGACGCTTAAAAGCCAATAAAAATTTGCACAGGCATTTGATTTTCACTCCCGCTAGCTCTGAAGGTATGCGCTTCAAAAGTGTTTAAATTTTGACCTCGAAAACGCGGAACAGTTAACAASGAAGTGTTGAGTTGTTTCCACCTCATCTTCTTCCATACAGCTTCTGCAAATGGCGTCTGGTAAGATCCCAGAAGCTACCCTTACTGAGAGCAAAGAGATCATTAGAACAAAGTTAGATAAACGACAAATTAGAATTGTAAGTTAAAACTTTTAGAAGGCGGACTTTTCAAGGCATACAAAATTCACTTTGGCTTTTCTATTGTGATTTCCTGTGCTAAATATTGGCCCTGTATCTTAAGTTGTTATTGAACCGCTGCAGCGGTATGACATGACCAACCTTCCCAGAGTGCTTACGAATATATGATTTGCTACGAAGTTTGTAACACCAAGAAGGAGATCCTATAAAATATATATATATAAATGATAACCGTAACGCGCTTAGTGGAGCTTAGCTTGGATATCGATCTGAAGTTTCACTTTTCTTTCCAAGAACCAGGTCATTTGTTAAAACCACCGATATGGCCCCACTATAGCATATAGCTACCAAACAAACTGACCGATTTATGCTGGAAATTCAGTTGTATGGAGACTTCTTATTTGTGAAGGGTATTACGTATTTCTTCGGGACAACCAAAGGTAACGTTTCTTCTTGTTTTAATATAAAGAAAACGCTTGCTTGTTAAATTATGCTAAATGAATTTTAAATGCGTATCATTAATTAAAAATAAAATTGTACTCACATCATATCCGAAGCATTAAAAGTCAGGCGCTTAGAGTCCTTACTGTTAGTTCTAAAGTTGGAAAATGAATTACGATTACTGCAATTACGTTGCAGCGATCTCTCTATATCACTAGAATCGCCCGATAAATACATTGGTGGGCAAGAGTTTTTTCGCTTKGACACCGAGCGGGGTAAGGTGGAAGCTGCTAATAAAAATAATTATTCGTTTATATAGATTTTGAAAAAATATTCAAAACTAAATAATTAAATATAAGATCTTTAAATGAATGCAAATACAAAACTTACCCTCAATGTTCAGCGACTGTCGGCACTTTGCCTGTACACCCATCAAGCTTGATAGCATTTTTGCTCGATGACTGCTCTGACGTATGCCCCTGTGCCTTAAACCGCAATCAGTTAAATCAAGAATATCTTCGACAGTATTATACATTTGGAAGTTGGCTAAAATAAAAGCTTTTTATAATCTTGTCTTATGTAAATGTGATTTATTATAAAACTGTTTACCCTCAAAGCATAAATAACTATATTTGAGCTGTGACTATAACAGTTTCGAAAAAGTGAGCGTGGATTCGGTACGGTTTAATGGCCATCTTCTACCCCACTTAAACTAAATTGGCAAAAATTACTCAAGACAAATCTTTCCGACACCCGGACAGTTTCAAAATAAGATTTCTCACTACTCATGTAACGGTTATGCTAAAAACTACTAAAAGTGCGATATCGCAATAAATAAATGCGTCATTGACATTAAATTGAAATTAAATGTTGATATGATAGAAAAGAGCTTTATAGGTGCCGGTATAATAATTGGATAATGCTCTGGCATTGCCCACCTATAGCGGAAAATCCTTATATCAGAACCCGCACAACCAATTGCAGCTAAATACAAATAAATATGGGTTAATTACTTGCACTGATATAACGATATTCCAACTTCTGGTTGACCATGTATTAGGTTGTCAAATACCTCCCTTTCTTCTTGCCTTTTGAATTTCGCGGCGATATATAAAACGCTACAGAGCGCGTACCAAGCAATACTATACATCTTTGAAAGGTCTTAACATAGCCCACAGAACGACGCTATGCATGATTAGGTTGGATATTGCGTTCAACAGTTATAGACGTGTAAATATGGAGTTCACTAACGCCTTCGTTAAAGGCAAATCCCCTAGAGAAACATGTGACATTAATGGTGTTTTGGGGGGTGGTACTCTGTCACTTCGAACTGCGGAAGAATGGTTTTGACGATTCAGAGCGGGTGAAAACGACGTCATGGATAAGCCAGCGGAAGACCTGTGACGACGAATAACGATCAAAACATGGAAAATATCGAGTTAGGCCGGCAGGTGGCATCTCGTGACATCGCCCAGAAGATGGGAGTTAGTAACCAAACCATTTTAAACTATCTGCAGAAGGCTGGATACACAAAAAAGCTTGATGTTTGGGTGTCGCATGATTTGACGCAAAAAAAAACCTTCTGGACCGAATCAACGCCTGCGATATGCTGCTAAAACGAAACGAACTCGACCCATTTTTAAAGCGGATGGCAACTGGCGACGAAAARTTGAAAAACAATATCAAGCGAAAACGGTCGTGAGCGAAGGCCTGTGAATCGTCCCGAACAGTGACCAAGCCGGGATTGACGGCCAGGAAGTTTTTGCTGTGGGCTTGGTGAGATTGGAAGGGAAGCAAGCACTATGAGCTGATCCCATATGGCAAGACGCTTAATTCAATCATCTTCTACTAATAACTGGACCGCTTGAAGCAGGAGATCGATCCGAAGCGTGCAGAATTGGTCAAGAGGAATGGTGTAGTGTTCCACCAGGACAACGCCAGACCACACGCTTTGTTGATGACTCGTCAAAAGCTATGGGAGCTCGGATGGGAGATTTTATCACATCCACCATATAGCCCGGACATAGCGTCAAGTGATTACCACCTATTCTTGTCCATGGCGAACGCCCTCAAAAGAAGCTTGTGAAAAGTGGATGTCCGAATTCTTCGCAAATAGGGAGTGGAGTTTCAACGAGAGGGGTATTATGAAGTTGCCCTCTGTAACACTTTTTATAAAGCATTGAATAAAGARCAAAAGAGTGGAAGGGAGATATTTGACAACCTAAATATATGAGTGTGCGATAGCTTAAGGAAATTGTCCTTGCGCCTGCAATTGATAATATATAATTAAGTAGCTTTAATTAGATATGTTGGTTGTTTACACTAAATAAGGTGGTTAGAAAGAACTAGCAAAACATTTTACGTTGAATGAAAAAAATTTTACAAATTATTATATACTTTACATACTATACATATATACTAGGAACTGTAAGGGTATTATAGCTTCGGTGCAGCAAAAGTTTTTTCATAAAAATATGTTGCATTTAAATATTCTTGTATTGAAATTTCAATTTACARTATTACTCACTTTCATACTGCTGCAAACCGAGCAAATCAAGCCAATCCGCGATACTCATTTTCATATTATGAACGATCGTTGCTGTTTGATCGCGGCGCTTCATCAACGGATAACGGAAGTTCCACGACATACCTTTATTATTAATTTTACAAGTATTATTGTAAGCCTCAAACTATGCAAAACCAAGTACTCACTTCCACGGCGCTGAACCATGCCCTGGGCATCGCATTGTCGTGCTTGGACATTTCCCATATTGTTGTTGCTGCTGCACACTTTTCACTTTTCGACAGCTGTTAGCAGCACTCAGCTGTTCAATTGTAAAATATTTCAGAATTTGTCCTTGATATCGTCTTAGACTTTTGTAACCGTACAGATTATACTTATGCACTTTCAGCATTTCACGCTCGCTGATCTACGCTCAATGCCGCACCACGATCAACTATTAAAGTATTCTCAAAAGAATTTATTGTACAASCATTGGACGACTTTTGTGTGTTTTCATAATTTTTGTTACTATTTTATTGGTGTTTTTGTCATTTCTCGTATGGTTTTGAAGCAGTGGCATAGTGGTGGTGGCAATGGTGGTGGAAGCGATTGTAGTTACTGCTGTTATTTGAGGCACTCCATTCCATTTCATCGCCGTACAACGGCATATACAATCGGGTATTTTCATTTCTATTCTCTTTGCGTGTTTTCTACAAATTATTATTTTTACCCATRCAGTTACGAGTATAAGCATATGTGGCTATACTTACATATATATGTGTTTACTTAACATGTTATATTAGAAGGTTTTATCAACTTATATCTAGTGTGTTATTTTTAATATCGAGTTTCGCTGATCACTGCAGAATTCCCTCAATTAGCCAGCGTGAACTTGGCGCTTTCATATACATTCATATGTGTACTTCGTTACAGTTTTGGTCATGTAAATAGAGCACTCACTGTACACAGTGTACAGTCAAAAAATGACGTACTTCGCGTGCGCGATCAATTCTCAGAATTTGTATTATTATTTTGCAAATTAACACATKTTAATTGGGATTACTGACTCGTAAAATTGGTCAGTATTTTTTGATCTTCTTAGTAGCTGACGTCAGGCCGTGAATTACGAAAAAAGAGTGCTTAGTATAAGAAACGTTTTGAAGCAAATTTTTTAAATAACTGCAAAGAACTTAAATACAAGTTAAGTTAAGTTTTGTAAAAAGTTTTTCTTACCTTTATGGAGAAAGTGGAAGCATAGATGACAAAACCAGGAAAAGGGAGATATTATATGACATCTAAAAGTAAGGACAAAGCTATTGTTCTCTGTTTTTAAAGAAATTACTAAGAGAAGCTAAAAAATTGTGTTAAAAAAAGCACTAGATATATCTTTAAGTACAACACGGAACAGTCCTCAGAGACCTGGCAACAAACGCATCATTATTGTAATCAAACTCTTACTTTGAAAAAAACGTACTGAAACAAGTAAGGAAGGACTAAGCTCGGGTACAATCGAACACTTTATACTCTTGCAACTTGGAGGAATCCAAGCAATTTTATATATACATAGGACTATGCATAACTCCTCGTTTGTTAGAAAAACGAAAACGATTATATATAGAACATGGAAGTTGGGGTAGTATCGGCCSCATTTTATCTTATTTTCTCAATACCACATTTATCTCTATTAACATGCCACTTACTAAAMAACTAAAGTAAAGCCAGCYGGATGTTCGAAAATCCTTGAATTAGTTATATGGSGGGTACGTCAAGTTTTYGCTCAAATTTACCTACTTTAGGCACARRGATACAYYGTTMTTATTATATTCGGTACCCCACGGTATAAGTCACCCGGAAGTTCGATTATCTTTATATATTATTAAGTTGAGACATACCATAGTCTTTCTCATCCCTGAATTTC